GCATTGCACATTTATTTTTGAGACAAGACTCACTAAATTGCCCAAGGCAGCCTTCTCCTAACTCTAACTTAGGCAGGCCTCGAATCTGTGGTCTTCTGCCTCCCTCTGGAATAGCTGTGGCCACCATTCCTCTCTTGGCTTGAACTCTTTTTGTTTTCTTTTTCAATACAGGATTTCACTGTGTAAAAGCCTTGGCTAGGGGCTGGAGAGATGGCTCAGAGGTTAAGAGCACTGACTGCTCTTCCAGGGGTCCTGAGCTCAATTCCCAGTAACCACGTGATGGCTCACAACCATCTACGATTCAATCTGGTGCCCTCTTCTGGCATGTAGGTAGAACACTATATATGTAATAAATAAATAAATCTTTAAAAAAAAAAAGCCTTGGCTGGCCTTGAACTCACAGAGATCCTTCTGCTTCTGCCTCCCAAGTAATGGAATAAAAAGTGTATACCACAACCAACACCTCCCAGTCAAGCCTCAAATTCTTGATCCTGCCTCTACCTCCTAAATACTGAGGGCACAAATATGTATCACCACACAGGGCTCTTATCACCCTTTCCCTTCCCGCTCCCAGATGTGGCTGTGCCCTCATTTCAACTTAGTGAAATATTTAAGATGAGTCGACAGGTACTTAACAAAACACACTGCCTTTCAGATCCCTGCCATGTGTTTACAGCATGTCTCTTAATCTAGTTAAGCTAGTAGTTGGATGTGATAGTTATTTCTATACCTGTAAGTATTACTTACTTAAACTGAACCTGTTTTGGAAAGGTACATTTGAAGTTAATGGTAAGTTACTGGGTTAGGCTAAATCACTTGTCCAAATTTTTTTTATTTTATTTGGGGTTTTTAAGTTTTATTTATTATGAATACAACATCCTGCCTCCATGTATGTCTGCACATACCAGAAGAGGGCACCAGATCTCATTACAGATGGTTGTGAGCCACCATGTGGCCACTGGGAATTGAACTCAGGACCTCTGGAAGAGCAGTCAGTGCTCTTAACCTCTGAGCCGTCTCTCCAGCCCGAGGAAGACTTTCATTGCTCCATCCACTAAAGTGTTCAATATTACTGTACCGAGCAAGCTCAGCCATGCCCTTAAACTGGAGGGGCCTGGAGGGCTATGCTGATTTTATCACTGTGTGCAGAGATAATTTATCCTCTGCCCACCTCAAGATTCCAGATTATACGGTGAATGGGCTTAGTTTGAGCAGTGATCTTTTGTGTGGAGGAAGTGCATTAACAAGTTGCACCTTTCACCTAGTCTGCAGACGGTATCCCTGCGGTGCTGTGGGTGTTTGTAATCTAGCATGTGGCATTTGGGATGAGCACTTCAGATATGACGGGAGGGTTGAGGTACTGCGTTTCTATGTTTGTTTCTTAAATAGCTATGCACTGCTAGAGGCAACTGCTGTACACTCAGCTTGGGTCTATAAAACAGTCACTGGGACAGTGGGATTGGCAGATCAAGGGCATACAGGTGCAGGGTGAGAAGCAGCAGGTGACTACTAGATTGCAAGTCTGCCATCACCAAACGTGGACACGGCACCGTGGAACACACCTGTGATCCCAGCCCTTTGGAGGCAGAAGCAGGGGAATCCAAAGCTCAGAGTCATTCTTAGCTACCTAATGGTTTGAGGTCAGCCTGATCTGCACTGGATCCCATTTCACTTTAAAGGTGTCGGAGGGAAGAAGGGGGAGAGGGAATGGACAGGAATGAGAATATTGGGACTGTGGTACTCATCAACCTAGACTCCTGACACTGGGTTTCAGTTTTTAGGGCTCAAACATTCTGAATACCAATGGTTTTGAAACTCCTTTACTAAATAATGGCTTACTTGGGAATTGTGGAGTAAAAATGTTATCCAGCCAACAATACCAGGACATCTCTAACTGACTGGAATAAGAGGCTTGTAACTGGGAGTTAGAGCCTGGGGTTGTTGTTTACGCTTTAGGTCATATGGGGTCTGGATACAAAGGGCCAGCACAACACCTCTGACTATTTTGGGGGGGGGTTCAAGACAGGGTTTCTCTATATTGTTTTGGAGGCTGTCCTGGAACTCGCTCTGTAGACCAGGCTGGCCTCGAACTCACAGAGATCCGCCTGTTTCTGCCTCCCTCCCGAGTGCTGGGATTAAATGAGTGCGCCACCAACACCCGGCTAAATATTAAATCTTATATAAGCTTTATTTGGACATGTTGTTGCCCTCAAAGCATCCTTAGGTGCTTTAACTAAGGCTTTGTCAACCTTTCTGTTGGTTCACTGTTTCTTTGGTTTGGCCACATGTCAGTTACATGCTTAGGAGTGGTGTGGACAGCACAGCAGACAAGAACGGGATTAGAGTTGGTGCATGGTCAACTGAAGCTCTCCAGCAGGGGAAGGTTGACTCCCTAGCACCCATGTGAGAGCTCCTGTGGGGTGTGCCAGTGGTGGAGAACCGGCAGGGCCGATCCAGGGACTGGCTGCCCACAATGGCGAGCACCAGGTTCAGTGAGGGGTAGAGATAGAAGACACAAGACAGCCGGGCGTTGGTGGCGCACTCCTTTAATCCCAGCACTCTGGAGGCAGAGGCAGGCGGATCTCTGTGAGTTTCAGACCAGCCTGGTCTACAGAGTGAGTTCTAGGACAGCCTCCAAAGCCACAGAGAAACCCTGTCTCAAAAGCCAAAAAAACAAAAAGAAGAAGAAGAAGAAGACACAAGACATCTCTGTTCTCTGCACACTTAGATGTGTAGACACACACATCGTCCTTTCTCAAATAGTGATGCCAGCAGCTTCTCCAGCAGAGGGACAAAAATAGAATTGCTAGTGTCTTTGTCAAAAAGACAATATCCACATTGGGAATTAATTTGGGGGGGGGGTAAACACTGGAGACATAGCTCAGCAGTGGATCACTTCCATAGTGTGCTGGTAAATTTTCGTTACCTTGACACAACTGAGGTTTACTGGGTAATAGCTGATCAAATTGGCCAGGAACCTTGTCTGTAAGAGATTGTCTTGACTGATTAGTAGAGCTGGCCCAGCCTACTGTGGATAGCACTGTCCCTAGGCAAGTAGGTCTGGGATGTAAAAACCCAGGTGAACATAAGCCAATGAGCAACATTGTTCCATGGTTTTGTCCTCAGTTTCTGTCCTGACTTCTCTCAATGATGGTTTATGACCTGGAAGTATAAGCCAAACAAACCCTTTGGTTCCCGAGTTGTTTTTAGTAAGTTTTATCACAGCAAGGGAAAGCCAACTAGGACGTGTAGCATGTTCAAGGCCTTGGGTTTGATTCCAAATACCACCCAAGCAAGCTCTAAGTGTGGTGTTCCCAGCCCCTGGGAAGACATGTTTATAATAGACTGAAGCATACTACAGTAATTTTGCAGCATTTTTGTTGATGTTAAGACATGTTAACTTCACAAACATTTGATAGTTACCTCCTTTCTAAAACCTGAATGAGTTTCATTTGTGCAATGGCTGTGCAGTACACCTTCAGTGCTAGTAAACTATTGACAACTAAATCCTTGTCTGGTGATAGACTGGCTGGCTTCTTTTTAACTCACTTTGTAGATCAGGCAGCCTGGCCTTGAATTCAGAGAGCCCCTGCCCTGTTTTTCTTTTTCTTTTTTTTTTTTTTTAATGTGCCATGGGTGCCCTGGAACTGGAGTTAAGTCAGTTGTGAGCTGCCATGTGGGTGCTGGAACTGAACCCCGGGTTCTCCTGAAGAGCAGTCCATGTTCTTAACCACTGAACCATGCCTCTAGCCCCCTAGAGTGGCTTTTTAAAAGGGCTATATACTTTACGCTATTCCCTGTAAAAGGCCAGTTGAATATTTTAGGCTTTGCGGCCTGTGTGGTCTGTTGGCAACAACTCTCCTGTCGCAGTGACATAAAAGCCAGGTGGTGTGTAAACGTGAGCAGGAATGACTAATGCTAATAAAGTGTTATCTATGACCACTGGAATCTGAACACCATATAACCCCACCTGGCACGTACTATAGAACTCCGAGCATTTAAGAGCCAGATGAATATGTTCAAGGGTAGCTTGTACTCAAGTTCCCAGAGGGAGGGAGGGAGGAAAAGAAAGAGACTTTTTTGGCTCGAATTGTTCAGAACGGGTAGACTTAGTTTGCCATCCTTGCTCGAGACCGTAAGTTAACAGCTGTTTATCAGACTAGCTTGATCACATGGCTTTGGAATCTGCAGGTGCCTCTTCCTGCCTAACCTTGAGCATAAAACAAGTGGCTGGCTGTTGACGCATTTCCCTGTTGCTTTCTCACAGCGCTTGTCTTCAAACTCAGGTTTTTTGGGTGAACAGGGTGGCCAGCCTGTGGCTATGTAATGTTAATTGGAAGAATAACTATTGTATAGCTTAAGTGGCTGTGGGAGGGCTCGGTGGTAAAGGACTTGGAATCATGAAGACCTGCATTTGCATTCAGCATACCTTTGACCCCAGCCTTAGGGTGGGGAAATAGAGGGATGGGCAGATCCCAGGGCCTCAACAAGGTGAGGTCCAGGTTCAGTGAGAAATCCTGTCTTAAAAATGGAGTGATGAGGACAACACACTCAACACAGTCTGTATAAGTGTGCATGAGAATACATGCCACACAAATCTGTGCCACCCCCCAAGGTAACTGATATGATGACCCCAGAGCAGACTTCAATGTGGCCAACTATAGGGCTAGCAATATATTTGCCTAAGAACTGGAAAGTTGTACTTCTTAAATCTAATGATTTAAATGATCCCATGGGGGCCAGTCTGTTCTACATACTGGGTTCCAGGCTAGCCAAACTACACAGTGAGACCCTGTCTCAATGACCTCCCCCAATATAGGTGCAGATGGTTTATTGATGGGACTGTCATTATATCACCCCCCCAAAGGCTGTCCGTTGATACGTGTTATAATGTGGGCCCTTAATTTCAGTGAAATTTGAGTTACAACCTTGAAATGTATGGAGTGTTGATTCCTAGTGCTTCTCAGGCCTTAAGTGCATGCTTATCATGGGTCTTGCAGGTGCTGTTGGTGAGCAGCAGTCGGTACCCAGACCAGTGGATTGTTCCAGGAGGAGGGATGGAGCCGGAGGAGGAGCCTGGCGGCGCTGCTGTGAGAGAAGTATATGAAGAGGTGAGATGAAGAGTGTTTTGTCTGTTACACTGTTGAGGGTTTATATGAGGGTGGTCTAGCTTTTGCCAGGTGATCCTGAGAAAAGGCAAGAATGCAGATATGGAGGTGTTCTCTTGTCTGGTGCAGCGCTATAAGTATATTGCTATAGTTAACATTTTGCTCAAGAAGTTGGTTTTGTTTTTGTACATGCTAAACAGCTAAAATGAATGTGAGCCTTCTAGAAGTGTATTAACATGCAAATGTATTAACATTAGTTCACTGTTTGATTCATGATCAATGTATAACATAATGGCCTCGACTGAGAGCTACATCAGTATCCTTTTGAGCAGAGACACTTGTGTTGTGTACCATAAACTTTAAACTAAAAAGGAACCAATTGCCAGACAGTGGTACCTTTAATCCCAGCACTTAGGAAGCAGAGGCGGGGGGGGGTGTCTCTGTGAGTTCAAGGCCAGCTTTGTCTACAAAGCAAGTTCCAGGACAGCTAGGGCGCAATACAGAGAAACCTTATCTCAAAAAAACAAACAAAAAACCTCAGTTGTTTGGGGTTTTTTTTTTGTTTTCTTTTCTTTCTTTTTTTTGTTTTTGTTTTTCGAGACAGGGTTTCTCTGACTTTGGAGCCTGTCCTGGAACTCGATCTTGTAACTCACAGATCCTCCTGCCTCTGCCTCCCGAGTGCTGGGATTAAAGGTGCGCGCCACCACGCCCTGCTTGTGTTTTCTTGTCTTAAAATTCAGTAAAATGGGGACGCAGAGGCAGGGGAATCTCTGAGTTGGAGACCAGCCTGGTCTGCAAGAACTAGTTCCAGGACAGCCTCCAAAGCCACAGAGAAACCCTGTCTCAAATCCCCACCCCCCAAAAAAAATTCAGTAAAATGTCCCATCCTCATGCACAAGTGGCCTGCTGTTCCTTCCCTTGAGATGGAACTTGCTTTACTCACAGGTAACCCATATAAGGGTTAAGTGGGGCGGACATCCTGTGCTTTTCCTTTGGACTTTGGGGGTACAGAATCTTGCCAGCACTTCCTCGGGGAAGTGCTTCCCAGATTGACACACAGGAAGCACTGAGGTTGCTATAGTAATGGGGTGGGGAATTCAGATCCTTCAGTGAGCAGTAGCTAGAAAATTGTAGCTCTTGAGCCCTGGCAAAGGAGAAAGCAGGTTTTTAGAAGGGGTGAGTCTGTTAGTTCATACAGAAAAGTCTGGTTTTATTCATAGATTTTTTTTTTCCAAATTGTTGTCTGAAGTGTAATTTTTATCACCACGTTTGTTTTTGTTTGTTGAAAAATAAATGAAAATCAGTCTAATCAACCATGCAAAAACTGAAACAACATAGCTTTATAAATGTGATTATTATGAGAGATGAGTATTTTACTTAGCAACTCTTTGTTTAATAGGCTGGAGTCAAAGGAAAATTGGGCAGACTCCTGGGAATATTCGAGGTGAGTTATAAAATAGCCCTACTTTACTGATGTAGAATTCCTGACTCTTTCCTGACAGCAACCTGAACCCGTTAGTTTCCTCCTAAAACTGTCAGCAGGCAAGTCAGTGGTACGGATTGGGCGCTCCCTCCTCTGCACACAGTGGCGCTGCCGTGGTGACCTGTGTCTGACCACGCAGTGGAGTTGACATAGAAAGACCACCCTACGGTTCTGTGTCAGCCAGCATATGCCACCGCACGGCGTACAGAATGATTTCAAGGGCCAGAAAATAAAAGCTCCAGTATAAGGAATAGATGCTACATTTCCTGAGGGGATTTGAAAGTCATCAGCACGGCTGGGTTCTTTCTGAAGATGCATTTCTGATTTTCAGACACAGATACATGGTATGCCAGAAACATGGGGGCTTCCCTTATCAAAGTTTAAGAGCCAACTCAGTCTTTCCAATGGAACCATATAAAATTTATTTTTAAACCTCTAGAAATCAAAATATTGTTACTTGGAATTGATTCACCAGAATTCAGTAATTGAGTACAAATGGTGGTGAATTCCTTTAATTCCATCACTAGGGAGGTAGAGACAGGAGAATCTCTGCGTTTGAGGACAGTCCGGACTACACAGAGAAAAACTAAGGATGGGGGGAAAGGAACCTTGTGTCTGTGGAGATGCCTCAGTGGTTAAGAGCATGCTGGTTGCTCTTCCAGAGGACTCAGGTTCAATTCCCAGCACCCACATTGCCACTCATAACTGTAACTCCAGTTCCAGGGGATCTAACGTCCTCACACGGGTATACATGCAGGCAAGACTCCAGTGTGCATAAAGTAAAAAATTTAAAAATTGTTACTAACTATTCAGAAACCTTCTCTGTAGCATTGGTTTTACAGTTATATAGCACCATCTCCTGGTGAAACCGAGAAACACAAAATTTTCTGTGATGTGTGGGTACAATTAATAAACCTTTGTCAGTGTGCCCAGTTTTTGAAGAAAAGTCATAACTAACACAAGAGACAGCACACTACTTAACAGAAAACATCGGCCAGCATGTTTTTCCCTCTAGAAAGTATCGCAACACATCAGAAGTGCTTCCCACATCGGTGACAGCAGTGACTTATGAATGGGAAGTAGTAAATGCATTGACTTTCAGGCATGAAAGTAGAAAGGCGAGGGGTTTGGTTTTTAGATTCATTCAGATCTCAAGGTTTTATCCAAGTTGAGCATACATAATGAAAATACTAAAGTTCCGCAATTTAGCAGTTTACCATTGGCAGTGCTGAAGCTCTACTTTACGGTTTGAGATGGCATGGCTTCACTCCGTAGTACAGGCTGACACCCCCCCAAATGCTGGGGCTGCCAGTGTTCATCATCATACCTAAGCTAGTCTCTTGTTTTGAGACAGGATCTTTTTCTTTTTTTTTTTTAAGATTTATTTATTTATTATGAATACAGTGTTCTGTCTGCATGTGTCCCTGCAGGCCAGAAGGGGGCACCAGATCTCATTACAGATGGTTGTGAGCCACCATGTGGTTGCTGGGAATTGAACTCAGGTCCTCTGGAAGAGCAGGCAGTGTGCTCTTAACCTCTGAGCCATCTCTCCAGCCCCTGAGACAGGATCTTAACTCAGCTGGCTGGGAACTTGCTAAGTAGTCTGCTGCTTCAGAACCGGGTCCTTCCTGCCTCAGCCTTCCAAGTACTGATTTCAGTCATGAACTCCCATGCCCACTATTTTTAAACAAAAATTGGGAATATATGCATGCACATACTTGTACATGCATACATGTAGAGGTTAGAGGATAACTTGGGAATGGTTCTCTCAGCTTAGGCACCCAGGATCCAACCCAGATCATCAGTGCTTTGATGTGCTGAGCCATCTTGAAACCCCAGTTTCTAAATGTTTATCTTCTATGCACACACTTCTGCCTAGAATGTTCACTACACACTTACAGACACTGGAATGCACTGTGCTTGTCCATCCATGGTTGGCTCTTGTGAATTAAAATGCTTTGCTTTTTCTATTCAAGCAGAATCAAGACCGGAAGCACAGAACGTATGTTTATGTTCTGACAGTCACTGAGATATTGGAAGACTGGGAAGATTCTGTCAATATTGGTGAGCCCGTCCTTTGCTTAGTCACCACTGACACTTTTCCAGTTCATTGGAACTGACTTTGGTTATTCTTTGAGACTTTGAATTACCTCACCCTACTACCTTGTTAAATCATTTAAGTAGAAAGCCGTTGTTTGGGGGAAGTGAGGGAATATGGTGTAGTGGTGGGGGGTATTGCTTTTTAAAACTGCCCTTGCAGTAACTGCTGTTTTCCTACTCTCTAGGAAGGAAGAGAGAGTGGTTCAAAGTAGAAGATGCAATCAAAGTTCTTCAGTGTCATAAGCCTGTCCATGCAGAGTATCTGGAAAAACTAAAGCTGGGTTGTTCTCCAACCAATGGGAATTCCACGGTCCCTTCCCTCCCAGATAACAATGCCTTGTTTGTGACTGCTGCACAGCCTTCTGGGGTGCCATCCAGTATAAGATAGAGAGCTGGGACCCTCCCCCCACCGTGTCATGTCACAGATGTCACAGGGAGAGGCTTTTTTTTTACTTTTCTTCTGACACATCTGCCTGCCGCTAGCAAACTCTGAATTTGCTGTGTGCAGGAGTTTCAAGTAATTTGCATGCGTTTCAGATGCTTTCAAATCTTTTAAACAACAAAATAGCGTAACAATTTTAAGATGCCAAAGCCATGTGGGGTTATTGTAACCCTTCAACCCCATTACTTTGGTTTTCTTCTTTTTTTTTTTTTTAATGAAATTTTCCCCCACTTTTGTCCACCATACATCATTCTGTGGTTTACTTTGCCATGTCAAATAAGTTGTAGGGTATATATTTTCACATGCTTCCTCCCCCCCCCCCCTTTTTTTTTTCTTACAGTATCGAATAGTCACCAGATCTTTGTTGGGAATTAATGAAAAGACTCTCAGTATTTAAAGAAATATATTTATCCCAAAACTTGTGTAAGAGGATCGTAATCTCCACTGTAAACTGCACATTTGGGCTGGTTTCTTTGGTATGGTCCTGTAGCCTTTGACAAAGTATTTCAGTTCACTATTTCCAAGAATTTGTTTGAGTGTTCACAGCCAGTATTATGTCACTGTCACCCTACCAGGACTGTTTCCCTTCTAACACAGTAGTGTTTCAATATATAGAGAGCTCGTCATTTTAGGGAAACACTGTCAGCAACTTGCATGTGGTTGAGTGTATCTCATACTGAAAACTCTATAGAAATTTATTTAGCATGCTCAGTTGCCAGTTCCCTTTATAGTCCTTTTAACATAGACTAGAGGAAGGCCACATTGCACTCGATGGAGACTGCTCTTAAAATGCATTTTCAGTTTCTGATTTAGTGACACATGTTCAGTTAAACAATCGGTTTTCCGCAGGATTAGAATCTAGTCTTCAGTTCAGTCAGTGCTGACTGCATCACAGCTAAAGAGAATGGCCATTGCTGTTCAGCTGTTCCAGACCTAAGGCAGAGGGCACATTTGATTATCTCCGGTTTTCTGAGTGTCGATGAGTGGCTTGTCACTAAAGTCAGCTGTGGGGGAACTGGACCGTGGGTCGCTATTACACCTTGTCTTTGCTCCTTATCGGCCATCCTGTGAAAAGGGCCTGGTCTGAAACTCCACACTTCATGAAGTCAGAAGCGAAGGGGGAGGGGAAGCCTTCTGCAGATGTGGGATAAGGAAGAGGAAGAGACTGGTCTTTATGTAGCCATTGTTAACCTTTTGTAAATACTCTAACTGGCAGGCATAAAACAGGAAGTACATTGAGACATGTGTTCTGTAACTTAACCTTTAAAATGTAACCGCTGCTGAAAGTGGTCCTTGGATATAAGGAAAACTGGTGTTAAAAATGAGATCTTCTGCCACAAATGCAGCAGAACTAAATAAAAACGTTAGTTTGCAAATTAATGCTGTCACAGTAATGAGTAAAGTAGAAAAACTCAACCAGTAGCATTCATTGTGAATTATGTAGTGTAATCGCACATGATCGTTCAGACCTTTATTTTTCTTTGTACAGAGGTCATGTATTCTGGCTTTTGCTTTCTTACAGGAAACATTTTAAAGCCCACAGATTGACATTTTCTACCAGTTGCCAAGACGTTTCCCCCCCTCACAAATCTCTGCTATTTCTCTATGTACTAAACACAACAGAGAAACTGGACTGTTTTATATAGAATACTGCTTCCAGCTAACAATCACAAGTGCTTGGGGTTCATGTACATGATATTCTGAGAGGTAATAGTGCATGGATTTATTTTATAAACTCTTGGACTGTGTATTGCCATGTAAAATATGTACAGTATTAATGTCAACCATCTCTTTAAAGTTAGCCTATAAATATTGTTGTATAATTTCTTTGGTCAGAAACATTTGGATTAAGCCAGGTCACCTGGGTCAGGACTTTCTTCAGTGCCATGTAACAAACCAACTCTCTTTAGTCTATGCAATAGCAAGGAATTTACAGAATGCAGCTTCGTTTTTTAATTTCACCTGGGGGCTCCCCATTACTCTTCTGGGTCCCAAACCAGCAAGATCATAGAGGAAAAGAACTAGGGTGAGTGATTCAGTTCTTTCAAAATCAGTTGAATCTACTAAAAGTAATGTCTACCATTTCAGCCCTCTGCGGTGAGCAGTGCTGAAACTGCTATTTGCGCTTATTTGTGGAATCGCTGAATAAAATGGGGCAGCTACATTCTTCAGTTCCGTGTGCCTAAGTTTAAAAAACAAAGCAGAAAGGTAGAAACTGCCTGTGTGGTGTTTTGTAAAGAAATGGCATTTTCCCATCAAGCACACGCCATCCAGTTCCTTGCCAGTCACATTGTATGAAGCAGAAAAGTAAGAAATGCTTTGCATGGTCTCATCCGAGATGGTCTCTTTCAAGCTGGTGTAAGAATCTTGACTTTCTTTTTTACATTTGGAAACATCAAATAAAAATGGAAACATAATCTGTGTGGGTTTATTTTTTAGCTAGCATAAGTAGAGTGTTTTCAAAGTTAATCCGCTTCCTGAAATTTAAGGTCAGGTGCACGTTTTACCCAAGAGGCTAGAGAGATGACTTGGGTTAAAAGTGCCTGCTGCTCTTCCAAAAGGATCTGGCTCTCAACCTCCTCTAACTTGAGCCCCAGGGAATCTGATACATTCTTCTGGCCTTTACAGACAACTGCACACAAGCCATACACTCACACACAGAGAAAAATAAATCCTTAAGTAGCTACCCAGGCAAAGTTATACTTTTGCTGTACAGAATCCATTCACACGTTATACATTCATACCAACGTGTATGCCTGCCTTGCATTCTACAGTAAAACCTTCGCTGTTCATTGAGCCCTACAAAGCTCTTGTAGACTTACATTGTGACTGACTGGGATTGGTGATTTGAAAGGAACTATCATTAAAGTGCTACCAATCTTTTTTAGTTTCACAGTATTTTAATAACCAAAACTAGAAAAATTGTTAGACAATCCTTACTATAATTTCCATTTTAAAACCACATAGAGCCGTGATTAAAAACAGAAGTTTGGGCTGGGTGTGAGCATACGCCTTTAATCCTAGCTCTGGGATCTGAGGTGGGGAAGCAGAGGTATACAGATCTGAGTTCAGTGTCAGCTGGGTCTATGCAGAGTTCCACAATAGCCAGGATTATAAAAAAGAGACCCTGTTTCAAGAGAAGTTTGAGCCTGCCAGCGTTAGGGCACATCTTTAGTCCCAGCACTCAGGAGGCAGAGGCAAGGGGAATCCGTTTGACACCAGTCTGGACTACAGTTCCAGGACAGCCAGGGCTACACAGATAGTAACTGTAAATCCAGCTGACTAATGTGGCCTCTGTGGGCAGTAACTCTCTCTCATGCACATGTCCACACAATTAAATCTCACAGGGTAGTCCAGTCAGCAATGTTTGTGCTGCACGGGACCCAAGTTCTGTCCCCAGAACCCATGCAAAAAGCCAGACTGGTGGTAAAAGTAGCATGGTAAGGCAAAGACGTGATTCCTTAGGGTGTGTAGGCCAGCCAGCCTAGCCTAGTGACAGCTTTCTCCAAAAACAGTAGAAAGCAATGGAACAAAACCCAAGGTTGTTCTCAGGCCTGCCTAAAGTCCTCTATGAGCCTGATGTGGAAGAATTTCTGAGCCAGAGAAGCCAGCCTGATCTACATGACGTCCAGGACAATTCTGAGCTGGGCATGGTAGTGATACCTTTGACCCCAGGACTCAAAAGACAGGCAAATCTAGGTAGTCAGGGTTACACAAAAAGCATCTCAAAAAAACACCTTTTGTAATCGTAAAAGGACGGAGTTCCCAGTTGCTTCAATAAAGAAGCATCTGCTCAGTCAGGCAGTGGTGGCGCACACCTTTAATCCCAGCACTTGGGAGGCAGGGACAGGTGGATCTCTGTGAGTTTGAGGCCAGCCTCGTCTACAAGAGCTAGTTCCAGGACAGCCTCCAAAACAGAGAAACCCTGTCTCGAAAAATCAAAAAGGATCTGTTCATGCCTGCCCAGCTAGCACCACTGACAGCAGTTTCCTTGACAAGGAGCTCACATAGGAATTGAGTAGCCAAAAGAACATTCCTAAAATGTAGTTGTATAGCATTTTCTTGTTCTGGTTTCTTGCATAGACTTCAAGTAAAATTCTATTTTAAAAACATTACCCCCTAGCAAATAATATGGACCTAGACTGGGAAATCAAGCTACAAGTAATCTCATGAGGCTGAAGAGATGGTTTGAAGACCTGGATTCTGTTCCTTGTACCCATTAGAGGCTTGCAACTGTTTCTGGATTCAGGGATCCAAAACCTTGTTGGCGGCCACAAATGTGGTGCTCACATAGGCAAAAACCCATACCAAAAAATAAAATCTTTTTTGAGACAGATCTTTCCTAAAATAGCCCTCCTTAGCTTTCCTGAACTGTGTACCAGGCTGGCCTTGAACCCAAGATTGCCTATCTCTGCCTCCTGGTACTGGAAGGTATGAGCAACCACACTCAGCTTCTCCATTTTTAATACCTTCCAGGACACCACCACTGGCTAAATACTAGCCAATTCCAGATGACAGGATTCTTAAGGCCTGTGTTAAGTTTGTGAGGTTACATATCTTTTTTCATCTCTCAAGATTTAGTCCTATACACAAACGTTGGGCTGGAATAGAAGATCAGTGGAAGTACTTGCCTACGCACTAGAGAAGGCTCAGCAGTTTAGAGAGTTGAATTTCCAGCAACCATATGGTTGCATAATGATCTGAGATCTGGTGCCCTCTTCTGGCCTACAGTCATACATGCAGGCAGAACACTATACATAATAAATCGTCTAAAAAAAAAGTTCTGGGTTCAAACCCCCAGTACCCAAAAAAAAAAAAAAAAAAAGTGCAGTAGGAAAGGCTAATTCTTAGAACATACTATTCCCAGCCTCAGTGATATAGTGGAGAACAATGGAGAGCTGAGTGCAGAGTGAAGGAAAAAGACAAATTATCATATCCAATTGGTACAGATTTTTATTATTTATATACTTCTTTGAAATTATTACATTCAGCATGTTTTCCTTTTGTGTTACTTAAAATATGAACCCTGATATACTTCCTTAGGATAGGTAGCATGCTTCATAGCTAAACAAAATGTTCCCAACCCCAGAATACATTCCAATAAATTACATATTTCTGCTGGAATACTGAGTTAGGTGCCCAATTTTTCATCTCATTTTGTAATTTTGTATGTGGACAGCTTTCCTATATTGTGTTCCTGAAACTCTGTTACTGCAGCAATACAAACTGATATAGTCAGAGTACCCAAAAAGAATACTCCTAAGCCATCAAAAATGTCCCATGGCACCACTTAGGTCTACCTGGCTGACTGGGTATCTTACAGGACACCACATGTTCTTTCCCCGCCCTCTTGAGAAACGCTAACCACAGCAGCTGGGTGGCTTTGATATACCAGTTTGCACTGAGGCTTATCTTACAAGTACATTCCTGGTCTAGTGTAAGGTTTTCAATATTATATACAGAAGGCCTATGATCTGAGAGAACCAAGGATAACTAGTCTCACAGTGAGTGGGAGCGAAATCACAGCAAAATAGATGACAAAGCAGAACATTCAGACCACAAAGCTCTGAGGGCAGTGGTTCTCAACCTGTGTCTCGACCCCTACCCGGATCATGGAAAACACAGGTATTTACATGTTAGTTCATAACAGCATCAAAATTACGGTTATGAAGTAGCAATGAAAATAATTTTATGGTTGGGGGTCACCACATGAGAAACCACATCAAAAGGTCGCAGCATTAGGAAGGTTGAGAACCACTGCTATAGGGCTTCCAAACTGATTTCAATTGGAGAGAGGCTGGATCTCTTCTCTCAATGAGTTCTCTCCGTATGCGCTGTCTGGAGGCTGGGGGCATCTGTCCAGCCCGAGTCCAGAAGAGTGGCCTTTCCAGCACTTCCTTTCTCCAGGACCAGAGCTGCAACTTTGGTGCTGTACCCCATGCCCAAACTGTCCCTTCAAGAGCAAGGCCCAAACTATTCATTCACATCTACATCCCCAACCAGCAGCAGGCAAACGTTCCAATACCTGTGCCAAGTGAACTTCTTCCTTCAGTTGGTGCTACAAAGTCAAAGGTTTCTAAGAAAAGAGGACTCCATACAGCAACAGGTAGGCTGGGAATGAGTAACCGACACTAACAGAAAGGGAGTGATACAGTGTGTGGTCCACGTGGTGTCTGCTACTCAGTTCTTGCCAATAGGTTCCTGAGCTATGGTGAGTCAACCTGCTACTGCCACATCTTCAGATCAATGTTAGACTTTTATGTGTGAATACTGCCATGTAACAGCCATTCAGTGTTGGCTAAGGAAACCAAGGGCCAAATGTAGTTGCTAGGATTCAACCTACTTTGACTGGTTGTTTCCTTTAAGTCTTTTAGGAAAAGTCCAGGCATATACAATGGTTCTTGCTTCTTCCAACTGGTTGAATACAAGTCTCATCAAAACAATGGGGACTCATCAAAATTAAAAAAATAAAGTGATACCACGAAATCAGAATGTAAAATGGGAAAACTAAAGCTCAGTGCGCACTAGAACCCTACGTGTGGCTAATGTGTAAAGTCACTATGTGACATCAGCTATAACCAGGAGCCAGGAGCAGTATTGGCTTTCAGGAAGTAATGCTGCCCCATGGCTAATTACTTCAAGTTCTGAGGATTTTTTGTTTTGAACGAGAGCTTTCTTAGCTGTGATGAAAAGATGTCATCTGCCCAAAAATTGTGGTTTTTTTTTTTTTGTTTTTTTTTTTTTTTTTTTGGTTTTTCGAGTCAGGGTTTCTCTGTGGCTTTGGAGGCTGTCCTGGAACTTGCTTGGTAGTCCAGGCTGGTCTCGAACTCACAGAGATCCACCTGCCTCTGCCTCCCGAGTGCTGGGATTAAAGGCGTGTGCCACCAACGCCCGGCCCTGCCCAAGAATTGTAACAACTGCTAAAAGAGAGCTTTAAAATTTACAGTATCAGGTAGAGTCATTAGCAATTTTATTCTAAACTTAATATTTGTTAGCAAAATGCATTTATGTGGAAGAATCCAGTTACCAGTCATCAAAAGCTCTTATATGTTAAAAATGTAATTTTAATAGACAATTCTTCATCTTACATAGGAGCACAATAAAATACACCACATTCTGAAGAAACTGAGGAAAATGCAGATGGGCTACAATATCCACTGCAGGAGACAAGATTCCTGACTGTAAGGTTAGCATATGACTCAACAAGAATTAGAAAGTCAATGTGGAAAAAGATGGTTTCAAATGGGAGGAAAATCATTATTAATACCAGATAAAAGGATAAAAGGAGTAGCTCGGCATGGTAGCCTTTATAATCCTAGTAGAGGCAATCAGATCTCTGAGTTGGAGGCCAGCCTGGCCTATACAGTGAGTTCAAAAATAGCTAAGGCTACAAAGAAACGCACACACCCTCAAAAAA